GGAGGGCTGTGGGGGGGGAGGGCTCAGCAAAGAGAGGATGGTGCCAGGCAGCCTTCAGTCCTGCCTGCAGCCCTGGCCCTGAAGCCCACGATTCTGTTTCTCTGCGGGGTCCCTGGCACCTCTGCAGGCTGTCTCCCCGGAGCTCAGGGCGAGTGTGAGTGAGTGGTCTGTGCTGGGCCCTTGCAGAGAAGGCCTGGGTCTGGGCCTCACCTGGGAGGACTCCCCGCTGATCTCTTCTTTCTTTTCTTTGCACGGCTCTTTCAGCTTAGTGCATGAGAGTTACACTAGTCCCCGTGAAAGCAGACCCCACCTGTTACATCACAAAGCCCCATTGGCCTGGCTCAGTGGTTGAACATCGACCTCTGAACCAGGAGGTCACAGTTGGATTCCCAGTCAGGGCACATGCCCGGCTTTGGGCTCGATCCCCAGTGTGGGGTGTGCAGGAGGCAGCTGACCCATGACTCTCTCATCATGGATGCTTATCTCTCTCCCTCGCCCTTCCTCTCTGGAACCAATAAAAATATTTTTAAAAATAGAAGAGGTCCTCTGCTCCCAGCCCTCAGCACATGGGTAGGTGGCCTTGGGTCCTTCCTGCCAGTTGGCGTGTGGCACAGTCTCTGCCATCGTCAGGGATTGTCTGCTTGTGGAGCCAGTGCCACTGGATTTGGGTTGGAGGGGGCAGGCCCAGGGGATGGACTGAGTGTAGTTGGGCCCTGGATGGTACCCGGGCGGGGCGGAGTGAAGGGCCTGGGGCAGCTCTCAGCCGTTGCTTTCCCGCGGATGGCGCTCAGTGCCAGCTCAGCCCTCACATCTGAGCAGACAGAATCCTTGCTCTTCGACGTGGCCGGCCACAGGCGGGTGGGGTGTGAGGGCTCCGTCCGTCCTGGAAGAGCAGGGCTTCCTCTGAGAAGGTCTCTTCAGGCCTTGGGGTCCCCAGGAGCCCCTACTCCCACCAGGCATTTGGAAGGATCGGGTCCCCCAAGGGAGGAAGGGGTCAGGGGCCCTGCCCAGGAGGATCAAAGACCAGTCAACCAGCATTCAACCAAATACATATCTGCTGAGTTGAACCCAAGTCCCCTCTGTCTGTGCTGGGGAGTGAGCCCCCACCCAGCCTGGCAGGAGGCCTCTTAGCACGTCTCCGGCTCCTCCTCCTCCTCCTCTCTGCAGCACAGCCCCTCACAGAATGCCTCCTTCACTGTTTACTCCAAACTCAAATAATTGACTCACTGGTTTGTTTTCCCACGGGAGTGTGAGCTCTCCAACTCATTCATGCCGTGTGACCAGCCCCTTGGTTAGGGCCTGGCACATAGTAAGATGCTCAAGAAATCTGTGTCCATGAGTGAATCACAACAGTATTGAGTGGTCTGAGCTGAATGCCTCAGAGTGGGACAGACAGGGGTCCAGGGGAAGGAGCCATCACTGATGGCCTGGGTCAGAGGGAACGCCTGTGGAAGACATAAATCAGCCTTGATTTTCACGGCCTTGAAGTCACTTGAACCTGGTTTCCTTCCTCAGGACAACTGAGGGTGGCATCCTCCAGAATCCATATGTTTTGTCTCCCTCCTACGATCTATCAATCTACCTCCGTTTCCCACCACTCTTCGGTGATAGGCTGGAGCTGGCTCCCAATAGCTCAGGAGAGCCAATTGGGTGCATCTCTTCCCCACACATCTTGCATTGGTAGCTGGAGATTGGTCATGGTAGGAGAAATGGGCACACTACAAACCAGCGCTTTTTCACCCTGGAAGAGCCAGCTGCTAAACTGTTATCAGCACACCCACCGCCTTCTACCTATTCATCTTCATCCATCCTTTCTCTTCCCTTCTCATAACTCTCTCCTTCCCACCTATCTTCCTTTCTCTCTCTATTCCTGTCTTTTTCCTTCCTTTTTTCTCAGTTATTTTATCCAATTTGCAAACTATGTATTCATCCATCCATCCATTTTTTTGCCCACCCATCATTCTTCACATATATTACCCATCTATTTCCCCACTCAGATTCATCTAACTTTTATTTCTTCCATCCATCCATCCATCCATCCACCCACCCATCCATTCATCCATCCATCCATGCATGCATCCATACATCCACCCACCCACCCACACACCCACACACTTATCCATCCATCCATCCATCCATCCACCAACTCATCCATCCATCATCCACTTACCCATCCATCCATCCATGCATCCACCCATCCATTCATCCATCTACTCACCCATCCATGCATCCATGCATCCATCCATCTATTCACTTACCCATCCATCCATCCATCCACCAACCCATCCATCCATCCATCTATCCATCCATCCATCCATCCATCCACCAACTCATCCATCCATCATCCACTTACCCATCCATCCATCCATGCATCCACCCATCCATTCATCCATCTACTCACCCATCCATGCATCCATGCATCCATCCATCTATTCACTTACCCATCCATCCATCCATCCACCAACCCATCCATCCATCCATCTATCCATCCATCCATCCATCCATCCATCCATCCATCCATCCATCCATCCATCCATCCATCCATCCATCCATCCATCCATCCATCCATCCATCCATCCATCCATCCATCTACCAACTCATCCATCCATCTATCTATCCACCCATCCATTCATCCATCCACTCACCCATCCATCCATCCACCAATGTTCTCTGAGCATCTACTCTGTGTCAGCTACTCCCAAGGCTCAGACTCATCCCTCAGACTTGGGATGAAGGTGCGTGAGCTCCAAGGACTAGCAGAGCCTCCTAGTGCAGCCCCAGGCTCAGCCCATTGATGGCGGATCCATACTAGAACCCTTTGTTTTTTCTCTTATGCTTCCTGGCTTCCCTGCTCTTTCCTCCTTATGTCTATTCTCACAAGGTTGGGGAGACACTGTGAGGAGAGGGGGCTCTCCCTCCTCACCTTTGGCAAGAGCCCCGTGGAATGGGGACTGAGTTTTTGAGGAAGGGCTCCCCACCCTCGAAGACCCCATGAGCTCTTAGCCAACTTCCTAGTAAGTTCAAACAAGAGGTGGCTCCTGTGGGGCCTGAGAACAGAGGGAATTCCCATTATGGAGCCAGGTCTACACCCCAATACCACCCCACACCTCTTAAAACTCCGGCTGGCTTGTGAAGCAAGCTTGTCTAGGCTCTTTTCCCAGGGATATTATTGCAAAGGATTAGCTGCTCAGCCTGGTGAGCCAGCGGGGCGGGACTCCTGAGCTTGACCTGGATTCAAGGGGAGGGAGGGAAACCCACTCTCCTGCATACACACCACCCAGAACATGCCACCCCAGCCGCACCCACCTGTTCTGTCCCTCCAGCCCCACCCGGGAGAGGCACAGTTATGCACTGGCTGGGGAGGCTCCCCAGGACCATGGCAGCGGGTCACAGCTCAGGTGGGGACCAGGTGGCCTCTCTGGCAGGTGCTCCTGCAGGTGGTCGGAGAGAGGCCTCTGCTGGCGTAGGCTTCCTCACGTCTGGTCCTGAGCTCTGTGCTGAGAGGATATCACACCTGAACAGCCCCCTTCGGGAATAACCTGAGGCCCACCTTCATGGCTTCTTTTAGGAGGCCTGGCTCTGAGGGGAGGGGGGGGGCAGATGTTTTCTGAGTCACACAGCAAACCTGCTGTGGAGACAGTGCGAGGTAAGTGTTTGGGCCCTAGGACCCAGCCCCCTGGCCTGGCATTGCTTGCATTCCCCTCATTACTGTGTCTGTCTTTTAGATCCAAGCAAGTTCTGGCCTGCTCTGACAGGAACAACCGCAGGGCTGTGCGCACCTGGTTAGGGCTGCCGGACGCACGGCTCTGAGGCCGCCTTGCACGGTGGTGCTCAGGTGGCGCTGAGGAAAGACCCGTGCATCTCTAGGCCTTGGGTTCAGATGCCGGCTCTCCCAGGTGACTTAGGCCAGTGCGTTCTCTTCCTAGAGCTTCCGTTTCCTCGTCTGTTAAGCGGGATCATTGAGCAGGTTGCGGGATTGTAATGTAGGGAGGACAGTGCCTGGGTGTGGCCAGGTGAGTTGAATAATTGGCAGCCATTTCATTGCAAACCCGAAATCCCTGGCACCCACCCTTTCCCTTAAGACGAGGAGCAACCCCACCGGCCCGCGCAGAGAACCTCCCCTCTGAACCCAGGCCCACACATCACACGGCTGTTTGGCTTGTATGACCCAGTTCACAGCCCTCTGTCCGTGGGCCTCAGCAGACACCTCGGCCTCTGCCCCAGGGGCCTCTCGGCTCAGCAAACTGGCCCACCTGTGAGGACACGGCTCCCCTTTAAAAGGTGCATCAGAAGGAAGCAGCCCGACTGGTTGCTGAGCTGCAGGAAATGATTAAACTGGGGGAGAAAAAACACTGCTTCCACAAATCAGGGTGGGTCTGAATGTGCAGGGTGTGGCCTGGAGAAGGAGCTGCTCTGCCTGGAGGCGGCCCTGTGCCTGCTCGCCCCAGCCTGTCCCTCCGCCTCCTCCTCCCTCCCCTCAAGGTGTGTCTCTGGGCTCCACCGCTGCCTGTCCCACTGCCCGGCAGACGCCACGGAGAGGCTACCACCGCAGCCCCTGACCCTGAGACAGACCCGCCAAGCGCCTGCCATGGACGCCGCCGATGCCGCCCGGAGCAACGGGGCCAGCCCGGAGGCCAGGGAAGCCCGCAGCCTGCCAGGCCCCGTGGGCAGCCCTGAGAACGGGGCCAAGGCGGACAGTAAAGACGCCAAGACCACCAACGGGCACAGCGGGGAGGCGGCTGAGGGCAAGAGCCCGGGCAGCACCCCGAAGCCAGGGGAGGGGAAGAGCACCCTGTTCCTGGGGAGCGAGTGGCGGCGGCCCATCATCCAGTTCGTGGAGTCGGTGGACGACAAGGGCCCCAACTACTTCAGCATGGACTCTGGGGACGGCAAGCGGTCCCCCTACGCTGGGCTGCAGCTGGGGGCCGCCAAGAAGCCACCGGTCACCTTCGCCGAGAAGGGGGAGCTGCGCAAGTCCATCTTCTCGGAGCCCCGCAAGCCCGCCCTGGCCATCGGGGAGCCCGGGGACGCCAGGAGGCACAGCTCCCCCCGGGCGGGCCCGGGCAGCCTGCCGCGCGCCAAGCCGGGCGCCGAGGAGGTCCTGTGCGACTCCTGCATCGGCAACAAGCAGAAGGCGGTCAAGTCCTGCCTGGTGTGCCAGGCCTCCTTCTGCGAGCTGCACCTCAAGCCGCACCTGGAGGGCGCCGCCTTCCGCGACCACCCGCTGCTGGAGCCCATCGGCGACTTCGAGGCCCGCAAGTGCCCGCTGCACGGCAAGACCATGGAGCTCTTCTGCCAGACGGACCAGACCTGCATCTGCTACCTGTGCATGTTCCAGGAGCACAAGAACCACAGCACTGTGACCGTGGAGGAGGCCAAGGCCGAGAAGGAGGTAACCCGCCCCGCTGCCCGGGCCGCCTGCTCTCCTCCACGGGGGCCCCTAAGCTTCGGGGCTGCCGCCTCCTCTGTCCCTGACTCTCTCCTGCCCCGCACACCCCAGGCTGAGGGTCGGAAGCAGCCCCCAGGCCTCAGGAGACAGGCCTTTCCCTAGAGGAGCAGGTAGAGGCTCAGGAAAGATCGGGCCTGGCCAAGGGCTCAGGGCCAACCCACGCCCGACGGAGAGCAGCTCTCAGTCCTGCTCTGCCTGGCCGGGCCGTTTCTCCTTTTTTATTTAAGGGAGAGTCTTACGTTCCCGCTGAGCAGGGCTGGCCCCGGAAAGGGTCATGGGTGAAGAGGGAATTTGACCTTTAAACGTCCTTTATCTCTGGCTTCAGAGTTTGCATTTAGAGGACAGTGACTTCCCGCTCTATCTGACCACCCCCACCAGCCAGC